TTCAGCTGTCAGACCAAGTAGTACCGGGAGAGGTGGGGCTGTGGGAGAGGTGTCACTTGTGTGCCACCGTACACCTGACTGCAGCTATCACGCAACTCAGAAAAATAAGTGGCCAAGGTACGCAACTTAATTATTTCATGCAGCCGGCGGTGGACTATCTGTTTGCTTAAACACGTTACTATTATTAATCCTTGGTCGTTTCTGCGTGGATTAAATATCGGCCGTACTATAGGATTCGGGGGGGGGGGGGGGTGTGCATCAAGCGTACCGGGGATGGAGGGGGGTGTAAAAAGTACGCATGCGTACAGGGAGGGGGGGAGGAGTCAAGTTTTGACAGATCTTTGCGTACCTACTAGATGGATGACCCCCTATAACTCGTCGATTGTTATAAATGTAATTCGATGCATGTATCGCGAGCTTAGAATCGATGTTAATCAGTCACCTGTACGCAGCCGCGACCTGGCCTCGCCCCGCCGCATTTTGTGATGCGCGTGGATTCCACCGTGAAGTTCCCGCAGCTCTGAGCACCCCAACCCCCCGGTGTGATTGACACCACAGCAGCTGCCCGCCTCTGCCTTTCCTCGTCAGCCAGCCACGCCGCGGCGTTCCTCTCTTTTTTCTCAATCCCGGGCTCATCGCAGTCCCGACCTCCTCAGCACGGCAGAGGCAGTGGTTGGCGACTGTGCTGCTGCACGTGGCTTCCTGCTTGTGATCCAGCACTGTGGGGGGAGGGGGGAGCGCAGCGAGCGTTGGTGGTTCACGCACGGATGTCGTGAAACTCCATTCCCGTGTGGGCTGAGGAGGTGCCGCACCCTGGCTCGCCAGGGGAAAGCAGGACATCAAGTGGACTAATTGCCATTACGTTTCCACCTGTACGGGGATAGGGTGCTTTGTCCCCCTCGCACGCGTGGAGTTTCTCCGAAGGCTCCTGTTTCCTCCCACGTGTACAAGCACGTGTTAGTTGGGCTAAGCATATCTTAACATGAAAACCTAATGCTGCAGAACCCTCCTGAAAATGTCATACGACTCAGGCTTTCCTGGATAAATAAGTAAATAAGTACAGCCCCAGCAACATCACTCCCATCATCACTACCATCATCACTACCACCATCAACAACATCGTCACTACCACCATCGACATCTTTATCATCAGCAGCGTCATCATCATCACTTCCATCCTCATCACTGACAGCACCATCAATAGCATCGCCACTACGGTCACCACCATCATTATCATTGATGAGGTGTAAGGGTGAGGTTTTCCATGGAGTCTGGTCCATGATTTCCTCCGGTCAGGTGACTCAGCGGTAGAGCGAGGGGCTCGCAAATCATTTTTAAGCGTTGACTTTGACTCAGTCCATCATCTCTCATGGGTCATTAAAATAAGTACCACTTTGTGTGGAAGTCAACGGTGATATTCCTATGGATAGACTCGCTCCCGCCATAGTAATTGGGGGTTTCCACCACTGACTCAAGTCTGTGCACAGGAGATGAGCACCAATGATGCCTCAAGGCTCATTGAGGCCGAATTCACTTTTTTTATTTCAGGCTTGAGGCCACGGGAGGATGAGACAGTGTCGCCACCTGCAGGGCGAGGAGGAGCAAGACGCTGAGAAAGAAGACGCGGATGATGAAGAAAATAATGATGTGGTGACAATGATGAGGCATTGATGATGATGAGGGACCACCCTGAATTACTGGCAGCTGCTGGTCGCGATCTCATCCTGAGTTCGTTTCACGCGGAGGCGTTCCAAGACACCAGTATACTGTAGTAACTGATTGGCACGTTTTGTTTACGTGACAAAACTTACTAATTGGCTATCGGGTGGTGGTGGGTTCACGACACATTTAGATTTACGCGATCTAACCCAAAACACCACCTTTATTATGATTCATCCTGAGTTTTATGCCGTGCGCAGTAATGGGCGACCACCATGCATGGCAGGGCTACTTGTGGGGGCAGTGGAAGAATTCATGGTTGTGTTGTACCTCTGTGCTCCCTGCTGTCACCAAGCCTCGCTGACCAGCGTGGTGAAACCATTGGAAAGTTTTGAAATTCACCCCGCCTTTGTCCACCCAGCAGTGTCCATGAGTACACCAGGTCACGTGTGGTGAGGTAAACTGTGTGTACTCCCGTCCTCGTCCAAGACGCCTGGCCAAATGCCCTCTAGAGCAGCGGTCCCCAACCTTTTTGGCACCAGGGACCGGTTTCGTGGAAGACAATTTTTTCACGGACCGGGTGGGGGTCATCATTGGGTCTTTCCCCCTTTTCAAATAAGCTCTCCAAGCGGTTTGTTTTTGACACATTTTGGCTACTAGGGGTTCGCTTGTGGGCTTACCAACACTGTGACTGAGACAAGTGCGCAGTGCGGGAAAGAGGCGCGGATGGAAGTGGTAAATAATAAAATAATGGGGGCGGGCCACGTGCGGACTCACCGCTCTCACCTCCTGCTGCTGCTGCTGTGCGGCCCGGTTCCTAACAGTTTTTAATTTTTATTTATTTAAAGCTTTCGTGACTGCAGGGATTCATATTCTTGGTTCTTTCGGTAAAGTCACGGATATTATATTTTTATTATTTTATTGTTTCCCTTCTACGTGACTTTACCGAAAGAACCAAGAATATAGTTTCAGTTTATTTATTTCGGTATAGCCCTGTGAGCCATTCGGCTCTTGAATCTGGTGCAACCACAACAAAGAAACACAACTAAAACTTGCTGTACCGGTCCGCGGCCCGGGGGTTGGGGACCCCCTGCTGTAGAGGAGATTTCTCGAGTTCAAGCACTCATGCAAGAGGGGCCCTCGATAGCTCCCGCCAGTGAGGGGCACTTCCAACACCAACGGCATTTAGACGAGGCAATTGCAGGGCTGCGCTTTTACCTTTACTACGATCACATCAAGTTTAAACGCATGTATCATGATAACACAAACATGACTTCATATTTGATTCACAATGTGAATTCTGTTACACCAAAACAATCATCGTTGTCGCCGTGGTGACGGCGTAGCGTTGTGTGCAAGCTCCGCGCTCGGTAGGCCGTGACGGTGCTGGCGATCCAAGAGTTGTAGTTGCACGCCAAGGTGTGTGTGTGCGCCTCGGTGTGTGTGTGTACGACAAGGTGTGTGTGTGTACGCCAAGGTGTGTGTGTGTGTGCCTCGGTGTGTGTGTGTACGACAAGGTGTGTGTGTGTGCGCCTCGGTGTGTGTGTGTACGCCTCGGTGTGTGTGTGTACGCCAAGGTGTGTGTGTGTGTACGCACGCCAATGTGTGTGTACACAAGCCGGGGTAGTTGGGCAGGGCGAAGCCTTGGCCTTGTTTACACATTTTAGCCACCCAGTGCCTTATGGCTGCTCCGTTAAACTCGTCGACATTCCCACCTAATTAAAGAACCAGATTTGAATCTTTCGTGACTGCAGGAACCAAACCTCCTTGGTTCTTTCGGTAAAGTCACGGTAGAAAAATTAAATAAAACAAAAAAGAATATATTATTTTGTTTTTCTACGTTCGTGACTTTACCGAAAGAACCAAAGAGTAAAGAACCAGAGTCACTGGTTCCACACTTTAATATCGGTGCCACAATCTGTCTCTGGACCCCTACCCTCTGACCCCTTCGCCCTGAGCAACGGCCGTAGAGACACCGCTTTCTTCCCCGCTCCCCACGAGCATGGGGGAAACGTGGCCCACTGCACGTTTGCCTATGTGTGTTAATGTGTTTGTGTTATTGTGTCATTTAGTATATTGAAAATGTTTGTGTGCCAAGTTACTCTTGTATGTGTATGCCACTATGGTTGCCTCCTTAAATGACTTGCAAAAAGTGTGACATGTTTAGGATAATCGAAGTTGGAACAAGCAAATGAAGTTTTAAAACCTGCATTTATTATTCTGATATTTCGTAGTCAGTGGCTGGCTAAAGCCATCAATGTACACTTACTCGGATTAATCACATTTGCTTTAAACCCGCATTCAAACTCAGGTGCTCAATAACACTATTTGAGTGTGTCTTCCAAGGCCATTATGAACCTCCCGACCAACGAAGCCACCTCCCTGTGCAATGTACCGGACTGCAGTAAGATGCGACTTGGGGACGCGTGGCTAACATCAGTGGCAAGTGATTACATGAACAATTCCTGCCCAATGAGCTATATAGCTCTTTTTCAGAAGCGACCTGGCAACAAATGATAGCTCAACCCAGGGGCTTGTGGGAATTTTATTGCAGCCAAATACTGTAAACACACGTTGATTATTAACGTGGAGGGAAAACCGGAGGATCTGTAGAAAAATCCACGCAACAATGGGGAGAAGATGCAAATATACAGGCATGATGGTCTGGATCGAACCCACAGCTCCCTGCATACCAGGCGAGTTAACATCTCTCCACCGTGGCGCACCTTCATCCAAAAGTGGAATTGATTATCAAAATAGCTAACGATTACTGGACTCGATCGACAAATGCCTGAACGGGTCATTGAGTCCTCATGGGATCATCAATTTACTGACCAACTCATTCAATGGCGGGTTGTGATTGGCTTGGAATGTCACTGAGAGCGCCCCTAGGCCACGCTGTATCCCCGTCTCTGGCTGTGGGAGGGGATTGAATCGAAGCAATTGGAAGCCGACAGTTATCTCATTTTGCATCTCACCATTCGTGTATCGATTCTTTTAGTTTGACTGAATTCAGTAGATTTTTTCCAAAATTAAAAATGCCTAAACACGTATGCAAATTACTTAAATTGGCCACTTTTTTAATATGAACAATTTAAACTAAATACTTGTTTGTTTTAAGTGTATACTTGACAAAAGGCGTGGAGGTGGTGGAAAGTGTTCTTCACTTGAGGGCCGCCTTACCAAAGCGGTTAAAGACTGCTTTGCTACAGGTTGCTAAGGAGCCAAGTGGGTAGCCGTGACTAGTAAAATACATTATTGTACCATACTATGTTATGCTTCTACATCTATGCTTCAGGTCGTCACCTTTACGAATAAAATAATACAAAAAGATGGCGCTATTATTTCAAATATTTTATTAATTTCATTTCATTACAACAATCATGGTGCTTGTTGTTCGGCAAGATGGCTACCGAGTGAGTCGCTCAGTTGGCAGCCATGGTGCTGGCGATCCAGGAGTTGTAGTTGCACACCTTGGTGTACACGCCGGGGTAGTTGGGCAGGGCACAGCCGCGGCCCCAGGACACGATGCCCTGCAGTTGGCCATTGCACACGACGGGGCCACCGGAGTCTCCCTGTGGTGGCGGCATCAGGGGTCAAAGGGTCAGGGGTTAGCAGCTGGCACTTGTATCTAGTGTCGTGGTTCGCAACATTTCTGGATCCGTGGGTAACTGCGTTCGACCATGAGTTTGTGGTGTAACCCAAAAATGAAATTTTAATCAAAATATTGACTGCAAGAACCCAAATATCAGTAAGATTAAATAGATGCAGGCAAAATATCGAGAGAGTAATTCGCATTTATGTTCATGAGGTGTATGAGGATTGAAATTCATTTGAACTGAGTAACCATTTGAACTGAGTAAGTTATAAATCACTCTACTTGGCAATATATATATATACAATGGCAAGATTAAAATCGAGCTACCTTGGTACAAAGGTATGCATTGGTCCATGAGCTATTAGAGTGATGTTACTTTGTCCCCATTAGTATTTTCGATGGTTTGTAGCGAGAGGGCAGGTCGTCGCTCATACTCTAATTCAGACTTGTCGACTCAAAATCGCTTCAGGGGAACTCACCTGGCAGGAGTCCTTGCCACCCTCCAGGTATCCCAGGCAGATCATGTTGTTGGTGATGTCACCGGGGTAGGAGTTCCTGCAGGAGGTGTCACTCAACACGGGCGCTTGGACGCACATGAGGACATCGGGGCTGCCTGTAGGGAGACATGCAGGTGGTGGTGATGAGGCATCGTACATTGGGGAAACATGCTAGGGTAATGTGACGACAGAGACACTCATAAGCAGAGGGGCGGCAGAAGAGAGGTCATGTCCAACACGTCACTCGTAGTATGGGGAACTTCCAAGAAGTGGAGCGAAATGCTGGAAATCATGACGAACACAATGTGACATAGCCCAAAAACACATCCGAGACCTATACAAATAAACCACAAAACCGATATTGTAAAATCTTTAAAAACTCTTGCTTAAATGGATTTTCCAGGGTAGACGGACGTCTAAGCGCCGTGTCCTCACCGACGCTGGTCTGGGTCTCGCCCCAGCCGGAGATGGTGCACATGACTCCGGTGCCGACGCAGGAGGAGGGCAGTGGGACGGCCTGGGCGTACTGGTTGAGGGTGGCGGGCGAGGACAGCTTGATGAGCATGATGTCGTTGTCGATGGTGGCCGAGCTGTACTGGGGGTGGCGGATCGCCTTGGAGGCCTGGATCCTCTGCTCGGTGCCCTCGGTCACGAAGATGTTGTGCTCACCGATGCGCACAGAGATGCGGGACGCGCTGGGGGTGGAGGAGGCATACGAAAGTAGTGATGAGGATTTGCATTTATATATCATTGCTTTCATGCCTTGGCAACAAAAGCACCTTGCGTCACGCTTCTATTAAAGTATTCCAATGCTCTGCTGTAAAATTAGCCAGGTGGTAAAGCCCAAGAACAATCATAGGATGCAAACTCAGTTCATGTTTGGGAATTGACCCACCAAAAAGATAAGTACAGGAAAACTTTGACCAATGCGGCTTTATCGAATGCTCGTTATGGCTCGACATGGTGTACCTAATGACGTCTGTTTTCCAATACATGGGAGTGATGTTTCAGCTCTCCGCGGTTTGATTTTCATCTCCGCATCGAAAAGTAGTACCGTGAGAGTGCTGCATCCGTTGGAATATTTGAATGAATTGACTGTGAGAACGATTTATTGGCCATGCATGTTTTGGAATGTGTATATATTTTTGCATGACCAACTGAACACGCGCAACAATACAACGCAAATATTCACACATTGGCCGCATATATCTGCCTGTCCACTTTTTGATGCATCAATGGCGAATCAGCAACACGCTCACGGACAACGGCACAAAAGCAACACTCAATTGCTCACACTTTGCCGAATGCATCGAGTCAACCAGTCGTTGAGGACGTTGCACAGGTGAATCATTAACGTTCAAGTGACACTGTTCTTGGCGCGCATCAGTGTGGCAATTCACTGTTCAGGGGTGTGAGTGCCTTGGTGCGGGAAGAGGAATAAAGATGGGGGATTTTGTATTGGAAAATAAAGAGTGTACACACAGGAAATGGAGAGCGACTCGGTTTCCTTTACTACAATAACAAGGGTGGAAATCACGTAGAATTTGTTAAAGACGGAGGGGGATATAATTTCTGAACCACGAACATAAACCTTATTTCCCCATGAGGTCTGTTATTTGTTGAATACGGTTTTTGCCCAACACGGCATTTCCAGGAACGTAACCTGCACGTTCGGCGAGGTCTGCCTGTACTATTCTCTGGGGAAGCCAACCCTGTTTGTCATATGGATAGATGTTTCCATGTCAAAGGAATGTAGAATTTCCACCACTGGCTCAGCACTGTAAACAGAAGAGGGGTATCAACACTTGAGAAATAATATTATTTTGACTTGACTTTTTAATTTGTCAGATTTACAAGCATTTAAATCTCCTAATTTTTATTTGTTCAGCGCACTCGTTAACTGCGTAAAAAATACTCCAAGATAAGATTCACGAAGTCATAATGAAATCCAGCAAGTCAGACTTCGTTAATTTGATTATCGCGGTGCGGCTAACACCATGCACGGTCCCCTTCGTCACTCCAGTGTTGACCAGCTGCACCAGGTACTCATTCAAGGGTCAACCTGGGGGAAGGCACAGGACCGGGTCAGATATCATCACTGATGTTGGGAATCGACTTCGTGTTGCAGGTTTCGCAATACAGTCCGCTAAAAGTTCTAATACCACTCCCCTCCCATTCACACACAGCACACAAAGAGATTTACTCATGTCCGCACAAACTCACGTCTGGTAGCAGTGAGCGGCAGACACGACCCACTCGCTGGAGATCAGGGAGCCTCCGCAGAAGTGGTACCCGATGTTGAGGGACACCTGCCACGGCTGCGAGTGGGCAGCGCACTCGTAGCCACCCACGATGTGGTCCTCATACATGTATGGGGCCGCCGCTGTCAGCGAAGCAGAGTGTGAATTAGTATCCTGGCCACGGTTAATTACTCAGACCCAACATTCATTGTGAGGATAATCGTCAACAGGATAATGACCATCGACATCTGGAGAATCCAAGGGGGGTAATGGAGGCAATGCTACCCCCTCTCACCCGTTGAGTCCCAAAATAATTGTGTTATTGATATTAACCAGAAAAAAAGTATTGTTAATGTAAGCCCCTTTTAAAAAATACAGAAATTTCGTGAACTCTCCCTTAGAAAGTTTATAGCTTCACCTCTATGAATATGTCCGTTATGACCATGATCACCAATGTCATCACGAACAAAATTACAACACAAGATCAACGTCAGTTAAATCGTCACGCCTCTCGGGTTACTAGCAATGTTGCATCACTGGTTCAATCGTTCTTTTGAGATGGACAATATGGGCCCCACAATAGGAATGTAGAATTTCCACCAATCTGTTGGGATCAAAAACGGACACGTGCCCCATCCAGCTCTTAGATATGAATCAGATTTACTCAAATAATTTCCTGGCACAGTTAAACTAGGGGCACACCTTTATCTCCTCCGTTAGTATTTTTTGCCGCACATCACCACTGGAGGTCCAAATTGTTTCCTATTGAGCCAACCTTGTGGAAGCCTAAGCCAGATTAAGATACCAAATAACCACTAATAATGTCCATCATTGTCAGGTTTGCTTATACCAATGTTGTTAAACTGCCAGACGTCTAAAGGCAACGATCAGTACGGTTGGCTACATATGGGCGAAAGAAGTTCAACATACATACAAAGACCATCTCTGCCAGACATGTTTCCTCGGTTGACTCAAAACCATTCACGACCCAGCAAGTTCCCAGTGGAAGTTACACAAAATCTCACCAGCGGTGCCCACGAGCAGAGCGAAGATGAGTCCGTACATTGTGCAGTGAAGATCCTGAAAGACGATGCTGAACCACTGCCAAGGGTCCCCTTTTATACCCGTTGAGAGTCCTCTTATCTTATGGCCTTGTTCTCATCTCTACACCACCTGGTCCCTTATGTCTGTCTCATTAAACTCGTCGATATTTTCCCAACTGGGATGAAAATAGCAAGTCAACGGTTCCACACGTTCGAATTGGTCTAATTTTATATTTGTATTAATAACGCTCTTCACCGGTGGCTTAAGACTTTTCACGAATGAATTTAACATCGACGTACAACGATATTTTGTTCAAACTGCTTGGGCTTCATCAGGTAGCGAAGTAAAAAATAGAGTGAGGCTACTTCAGTACCCACCGTGACATCACCACCTGCCAAAGCGCGTCATATCCCCATGTCTTTTCAACGTGAACCTGGCTGCTTAGAATATGTTCCTTATTTCAAACAACTTCAAATACATCCATTTCAAAATCAAACATGGATCATTGAATAGGCTAGAAAAAGCTATATTTAAATATTACATTTAATTGTTTCCGTGCACACCTTGCATGTGCCATGGATTCCAAGGTTAACAGGTACAGGGTGTCTCAATGAACTCTCGCCGAGTTACACCAAGTTGCTTAATTATTGATTTCTACGATGTCCTGTTATCGGTATGCTGCGCTGTATGTTGACCACATGCAGCACTTCTCATGAACGAGTATCATCATGAGTAATGCTATGTGTGTTTGTTGAACTTATTTCGCACGGTACAAAGCCAACTGTGCTATTCGGATGGGTGGGGGAATGACAACAAACTTAACACAAAAATCAGTTATAAACAAATTAGTTTTAAATCTACATTTAAAAGAGCATAGCTCCAGTGGCTTCCTAATACGCTTGTTTATCCAACAAAGCCTCACTGCTTCTCATGTCTCGTATTTAGAAGGCTCCTGCCACGTTTTTTTGCAGTTGTAATCGATAGTTCCTATGTATATTACAATTGTTCACTTATTTTTGATGTGTATTATGTTATATTCTTGGTTCTTTCGGTAAAGTCACGTTGAAGGGAAACAATAAAATAATAAAATGTTATATTGTTTGCCGTTTCGCGTGGGAAATCTAATATGGCGTTGGAGCCTTGTCACGAGTTAAATAATTGGTATTATTACAAGTATTAATTGTTTATTTTGATCAATATAATTCGAATCAAGAGCTACAACGGTGTTGGAAGATGATTAGAGAAAAGTCACGTCGGTATAATATAACCAAAGAGTATGGATTCCTGCAGTCACGAAAGCTTCAAATCAAGATGATTAGAGTGTTTCGGTGATGAATATAGGTGTTTCTGGAATGACTGATAACATTTGGTGGCATTGCTCTGTGCCTTTAGAAGGCACAACATGGCTGGCTGAGAACTTCATTTTAACATTAAGCCAATGGGATGAGCGTATAGCTGTCAACCCATATGGTTTACCCGTATTCTTGTCCAGGAAATTTAGTTTTTAGGTTCATACGGTGTACAGCCGTTTCAATACGGGCAAAGAATATGTTAATTTGTTTGTGTTTCTCCCTTGTGATGGGACTTTGTAGGATGAACGTTGAGATTTATAAAGGCACGGGGTGACCAATAAGGTTTGAATTGGTATTTAGGAAATAAGGTAGGCACTGTTAAGGGGTTGACAGGTATGCGAGCGGGACTGGTGTTTTTGCAGAGGTGACGTTCCCATTTCGGGTATAAGAAAGAATAATTGTTTTATGTTCAACCCTCCCGTCCACAGTGCTTTAATGAAGCACTGTGGACGGGAGGGATGGTGGATCGCACAAAGTTGTGAAACTCATACTTTTACACATGCGTGCATAATTTCTATGAGCCTATATAGCTTGCTCTTAAATAAATGTTCTATACTTTCTACGAAATGCTTTTCAATCCATCGTGCTCTTCAATTCGTGGCCTTTGATATAAACAATGTTAATTCCCTCATGTAACATCTAACGGTGATGGACTTTGTTCGGTTTCTGGTTGTCATGTTTTCACTCCACGCAATGGTGTGATAGGATCAAGCTCCGAAATTACTTTCATGACGTTAAGTGTGGTTAATTCGTCACAATTTTGTTCACGTTTGTGCTTGCGTACCAGTTCTATATCACTGCGTCACTGCTGCCTGTCATTCGGATAAATTTGGTCACGTTTATTCTGACGGTGACCGAAGAGAAGTGGACCACAATATACAACTTCATAAATACTCGTTACGATTATCGCATATTGCACAATAGTCAATAGCTTTTGATTTAAAGCTTTCGTGACTGCAAGGATTAATCTTCTTTGGTTCTTTCGGTAAAGTCACGTAGAATGAGAATAAAATAATAAATTGATATAATAAAATAACACAATAATATTCTCATGACGTTTCGGCCACAACACAAGCGGCCTTCATCAGGTGAAGGGACGAGACTGTCTGGAGGACAGCGCTGGAGTGAAAAAGCCACGCTCAGATCGCGACCTTTAAGCTGTGTGAGAAGAAACAAAGCGCCTTGACAAAGGAATTAGCATAGAATTTAGTATTGAAATGGCTGAGTGATTAGCTTGTGACTGGTCACAGAAATGGCTATGTTAAAGTTAAAGCATACACATCCGCAGAGGCACCCCTTGACAAAGGAATTAGCATAGAATTTAGCATTGAAATAGCTAAGTTAAAGCATACACATCCACAGAGGCACCCCTTGACAAAGGAATTAGCATAGAATTTAGCATTGAAATAGCTGAGTGATTAGCTTGTAACTGGTCACAGAAATAGCTATGTTAACGTCAGAGCATACACATTCACAGAGGCACCTAGTACAAATCAAAGAGGAGAATTTAGCATTGAAATAACTAGGGGAATTTAGCATTGAAATAACTGAGTGATTAGCTTATGACTGGTCGCCATATAGCATTGTGATATATAACGACTTATTGTTGGTAGCTTAGCTGATTGGAGAATATATAGAGTTTATTGATAACATTGAGGTAATTTATATTTTAGTTTTTATTGGTTCACTATGTAGTATTCATTATATATTAGCTCAGATGTGTAGGCCTTGACTTCAACATAGCCATTTCTGTGACCAGTCACAAGCTAATCACTCAGTTATTTCAATGCTAAATTCGCCTAGTTATTTCAATGCTAAATTCTCCTGTTTGATTTGTACTAGGTGCCTCTTTGAATGTGTATGCTGTGACTTTAACATAGCTATTTCTGTGACCAGTTACAAGCTAATCACTCAGCTATTTCAATGCTAAATTCTATGCTAATTCCTTTGTCAAGGGGTGCCTCTGCGGATGTGTATGCTTTAACTTTAACATAGCCATTTCTGTGACCAGTCACAAGCTAATCACTCAGCCATTTCAATACTAAATTCTATGCTAATTCCTTTGTCAAGGCGCTTTGTTTATTCTCACACAGCTTAAAGGTCGCGATCTGAGCATGGCTTTTTCACTCCAGCGCTGTCCTCCAGAGTCTCATCCCTTCACCTGATGAAGGCCGCTTGTGTTGTGGCCGAAACGTCGTGAGAATATTATTGAGTTATTTTATTTTATAAATTTATCATTTTATTCTCATTCTACGTGACTTTACCGAAAGAACCAAAGAAGATGAGTCAATAGCTTTATACACGTCTTTACATTGTTGCTTGAAACTTCTGCTTGCTGCAATATCAAATATTCACGATATGACACGATATTGCATTAACCGATAACAATGATCGAGATATGTTTCCCATTACTTTGTAATTTATTTGACATTAACTCGTTTCCTTTGCTTTGATGAACAGTGCGGTCGTATGTGTAGTGCGTGTCTTGCGAGGTACACTGAGATAGGAGGCACCACACTTTATTATCCTTAACAAGTTCCCACTTCAACAAGGGCTATTCTAGATTCCAACAAGGGAGAGGGGATCCCTAACACACTGAGTCCCTAACACCGTCGGGCTCCCGCTTCCCCCATCGTGACCACACACCGCCAATTCTTCCACTCGACTGCCCGAAGGCTCCGCCTATTCCCTTACCCCCCCCCCCCCCCGATCGTGGCCCCACCCCACCTCTTGCTACGTCACTTCCTCTGACTCCCGAGTCAACGTGACAGGGCCCTTTGGGCCCCCATCGACAGGTAAGTGAAGGTAAGGAAGTACGCCTCCCCACCGCAGTCATACAGTATCGGGCTTTTACACTGCATGGACGCCATTACATATGGAATGTAGGGAGCTGCTGTGGTACCAGGTTTAATAGCACACTCGACTTGCAATCCAGTCCTCGATTCGATCTCCCGGTGTGGAAGTTGAAACAACGGGGTACATTTCTTAAATCCCCCAGTCTCTGTCCACCCAGCAGTGTAAAGGTATTCTTTAGTATTTGTGTATTGGTTACATTATGCGACCGTTACTTATTGCTGGTTTGCATGACAAAATGAGATTGTGGTGCCACAACAGCGAAGCCGCTCCGTCGAAACCGGGGCCGTCGCTGTGCTGCTGCGACCGAGAAGCCACCCGGCTCCCATCACAGCACTTCCCCTGCCCCCCCTCCCCCACCTAAACACACACACACTCAAGTAGGGCCTCATGAGGAAGGGGGGGCACCTGCCCTGAGTTTTTACCCGAGAGGCCCCCTCGTGGGGGTGCTCCACGGTTTCTCAGGGTCAGGGAATTGGCAGGCACCCCCCCCCCCCCCAGGTGAAATGGCACTGCGGCGCCGTGGCTTAACTTAGAATTAAATGACCACGGCGAACTCACTGAGAACCGCAGTGAGGAGATGCCCAAGACACACACGGACCAGCAGACAGGTGGGGAGCGGGGCAGCGTGGGTTAAGCGTCTCTATCCATGGTGCACCGCGGGCTAGCGTCTCTACCCATGATGCACCGCGGATTAACGGCCCTACCCATGATGCACCACGGATTAACGGCCCTACCCATGATGCACTGCGGATTAAAGCCCTCGCACCGCGGATGGGCGGTGCGAGGGGTTTGAAAGGAGCATAAAAAGGGACGCTTTGGGGAAGCACGGGGCCATTTTTATTTGACTGGAGATCATCAGGAGGGAGGGATCGAGGAGCCGTCACCTGACTGTTACTCGCACGTCCGTGAGATGGGGCAGAGAACAGCCAGATTCTGGTTACAGCATCATTTATCTGCGACCTCCATCGCTGCGAGGTCGGACCGTAAGTACGAGGGAGAGAGGTAAGACAAAGGGACGAAATTCGGAGAGAAAATAGAGGGCAGACAGGTCGATTAAGTATCAGGCAGTAGAGAGATAGGTTTGACCTGTCCTGCTGGTCCGTACTGACACGCACAGTCTAGTTCGATACTCGCGGGGAATAAAACCACTAATAGGATCAAACTGTGTCGTGGTCACTGTGAGTGCGAGGAGGGAGACGGAGCGTTTGGTGTTCGCATACCGGTACGAGTGTGTACAGAG